TAAACCTCTATGTGCTCTTTGCTTTATTTTCTTCTTTGTCAAAGAATATACACCCATAACATAACTTAGAAAAGTAAGCTCGTGTTTCTTTTCTCTCCCCTGTTGTTTTGAAACACTGTAACAGAGAACAAAATGGAGAATTGAATCAGTGTGATAGAAGGAAGAGGAATCCCATTGTTTACGGTGGGAGATACTTGCCAGTAAACATACTGGGTAACCTTTTGAGGTCTCCTCTAAGTATGTTCCTCCTATACAAACCCGTCTGGCCGGGCGCATACGGTAAATCGTTGGTAATTATCTGTTGCTTTAAACCTCAAGAATTCTAAATTCTGTATCTGATAAACAAAATGGGTTTTCTTCATTTTTATCTATTTATTTGAATTTGAAAGTAATTATTCCTTGCTGTTGGTTACCTTCAATATAAGAGGTAAGGATCTGAGCTTTGCTGGTGGAAAAAAAATTTTGGGGAATTAATTTTTTATGTGCAAATATTTGATTTTTGATTTTTGACTTTTAAAATTTTCATTATAAAATAAAAAAACTATTCTATGAAATTATTGTTTTTTACTGGGCTCAAAAAAGGCTATTAGTAAGATTATCTGTCCTGTAAATGCCAGAATTTTTAGTTTGCATATTAATTTGTTCTCTATTATAGTGATTCCTTGTTGATATTTGTGGTTGATGAACTTGTATGCTTATGAATTTACACACAATTTCTTTTGTTGCAGTTGTGCTAAAATGCTGAGCGACAAAAGAACAAGTGCTATTAGAAGATTGGGAATGCATTTGAAAAATAGAATTTTGATTCCCAAAAGAAACACTTAGAGAGATCAAACTCCTATGCCATATGGATCATGAAATGTACTCTCTTTTTTTGGCAATTTATTATCTGATATTACTATAAGTGTTGTGCATATCATTCTAGTAAATTGTGACTATGACAAGTTCTGCTAATTAATGGCCAAAATCTTGAAGTATTGATGACTAATATTGCACTTGGTATGTGTAGATTATCAAAAATTAAGAATAAGTGACACCACCGGAGAGGGAAAATTTCAACGATTTGTATATTGTCTATGAATTGATGCGATTTACTGATCTCCATCAGATAATACGCTCTAGCCAGGCATGACTGATTTATCCACTGTCAGGTAAGACAAACTGGATCCATTTTCCCTTGCTGCAAACTTCTTCTTACTATATCTGACTGAATGTTTGACTTCAGTATTTGTGCCTAAAATAAGAAACTTTAATTTAGGTAAAATTGGATTTTTAGAATGTTATTCACCTTATTTTGTTGGGATATTGTTGGAGGCTGAACAGATCCACATCCTATCATTTGAACTGTGCAACATTGTCTGTGTGTTCATAACCGCTGGTGTGTATAATATTATATATATATATATATAATATATATATAACCATTAGAGGTGAAATTTAGTCTTATAATTTTTGTTTTACAGGTAGAAGGCACTGATGCACTGGTAGGAAAAATATATGAAAGCATAATGTATTGTTGGTTAAAAAATTGAATTAAGCTGCAAACTTAATACCTACAATGTTAAAGAGATTTTTTTTGCATTGGCAGTATTTCTTGATCAATTGTTGCGAGGACTTGAAATACAACCCATTCTGCAAATGTTTTACACCGAGATTATGAAAACCGAGCAACTTGCTCCTCAATGCAAATTGTGATCCTTAAGATATGTGACTATCGGGCTTGGCAAGAACCACCTCAGAGACTGATTTTCATGACTGAATATGTAGTAAACTCGATGGTTTTATCGAGCCACCAGAATTGCTGCTCAACTGTTCAGGAGTATACTGCATCTATTTGATATTGGTCAGTTGTTGTATTTCATGGAAATTTCTTAAGAAGGGAGCCTCTTTCCCGGGTTAAAGACTATGTCCAGCAGTTGGGGCTTTATAACTTGAGGTAGGTATATGTTTGAAGGAATGTGACTAAAAGTTACAATTTTTATTAAACCTCAAATTCTCTGATTGCTAATGAATTAGTCTTTAACTTTTTCTTGATTATTCCCCAAAAATAGTGCTAGTTCACCCAATGATTCAGGATCTTGGATTCCTTAGAAGTGATAATGCACGGAGGTAATGTGAAGCAGCTTCCACCATTTCCCTAAGCAACCTTTTTCACCAAAAGTTCCAGAATGTGTCTCCAGTTTGCTTCTTGATCTTGCAGAGAGAATCTAGTGGTTTGATCCATGCAAACGCATAACTGGTATTGTATGACCTTTGCATAATAAAAGTTTACTCTTCTGTTTTTTCTCATCCAATTTCGCTGATTTGAGCATCACTTTTTTTTTCCCTTTTTGGTTGTTTATTGAATTGAGGAGGCACTGAATCATCCATTTTTGTTCAAAAGTCTACACGAGATCAACGAAGAACCACTTGCCATCTCCTTTTAGTTTCGATTTCGAGCAAAATTCCTTAAATGAAAGAAGATATAAAAGGGCTCATATGGGCAGGAGTCCTTGAACTTCAATACAGATGTTATGCTTGAGTTTAATCTTACCAACATTTTAATCTTTACTTTCGTGTCTATTATTTGGCTGGTTAGCTTTCCTGATCAGAACATTTGATTTCTGATTCCACTTGATTATCCCGTGAAGAAAAAATTCTCTCTAAAGAGAGAGAAAATCTAGGGAGATGTATCTCCTTCCTATATTGTGAGAGTGGAGTCGTTTTGTCTATTGGGTTTTAAATTGAAGGGCTGGAATTCATTCTGTTCAGGACCCAGATACTAACAATGTTGGTTTGATAAAAAGAAGGCCTACCATTCTCCTAGCCTTGCTGTGCATGTTTTTGTGGTATGGTTATGTATATTGTATACTATAATCAATCAAATACAAAGGAAAAAACCCAAAATTGAAAAGAAATGGTGAGTGCTTTTTATTGTGCCTTTATAGCGTCTGAAGTTTTTGGTAACGATAGGCTTTGATAGTTTGCTTCTATTGTTCCAGTTATGCAGAATGTTCAAATTGGTACATTACACTTCAAACAAAAACTTTGCTCTGTTTGATCCTTTTTTCGATTGCAGGCAAAAAATGTATAGGCTAAACGTTTTTGTTTAATAGCATTCCATTTCTTTGTTTTTTATATTGTTTACAGCATATTCACTAATAGTTAAATAATCTACAACACTTACAACCTTGATTATTATAAAATTCAAGTGCATTTAAACAAGTCATAACAGCCTTACCTACGGCCTTATTGGGGAGTTCATTTTATGCATCAAACCAATTTCGAAAAAATAGGTTTGATAATCTTTTTAAACGGACCAATTGATTATCGTCTTTGATATGTAAAGTAAACCCATACAAGCAGAATTAAGCAAATTTTATTTCAAAAATTATTTTAATTTTGTCATTTTTAGAAGTATAAAATGCGATTTAATGTAATAATTTTTTTAAAACAGCAATTGAATAACCACTAAAGTTTTTATTTCTGAAAAGTTATTTAATTTTAGTGATTTTTAGAAGTATAATATTAAATAGCATAACAATTAAAGATAACATTTGAAAAATTAATACCCAAAATAAAAAATGCTACAACATGTGGAAAAGCCTATATAAACCCAAAAATTAAATGGATTGACGTGCCCTTCATTAGGTTACAACTTACAATTACTTCCAGCATTTTCGGGATAGACAAAAAAATTCCACGCCAGCATTTTTATTTTTTTATTTTTCAAAAAATTACACTTCCATAGCTTTTTGCATTTTCATGTCAGTCGCAGGAGGAAGGACAAGATCATTACAGACTTACAGTTAGGAGCAGGGCCTACATAGAGAATGAGACCTTCCAGTCTAGGGAAGGCTCTACAAGAGCCGAAGAAGAAATTCATCTTCGCTGGTCGCCGCCGCTACTCATTCACCGCACTTGCACGCTCGTTCTTCGCAACTTCTTCTCACATTGTGACCGGTTCTTTTCTTTACTCCAACATCTGGGTTTTCTCTTCTCCCTCTCTCTCTCTTCTCTCTCTCTCTTTCACATAATATGCTATTGAATTGCATTTGATTCGATTTTGTTTTAAATGGAATTGATAGACCTACTTTGGCATTTTGCGTTTGATATCGATGGCGTCATTCTTCGAGGGAATCTCCCATGGCGGCTTCCTCAAGCTCTCAAACGATTATACGATTCCCTTCTGGTACAGTAGATGATACGCATTTAATCTGCAATTGTGGCGCTTGTTTTATATTAGGTTTATTTTGATCAGTTATGCAAAATTGTTGTTACTTTGCTCAGCCTTTTATTATTATTATTAATTATTTCCTTTTGGTTTGGGTTTCCCTTCTGCTATAACTGGTCTTTGTTTATTTTGTGGACAGGTGCTTTGAAAAATTCCTTACATTTTCTTGACGGGGAATGCGTTGAGTTTCTGTACATAACAGTCCTTCCAACGCTGTTGTAGCATATGGCATTTGTTGTTTTTGGATGATGTGTTTACTAGAGGTTATTAGCAAAATTATGGGATCTTAGAATCAGGCGTTATTTAAATAGTGGAATGTGTTGTTGATTGAGCAGCAATTAGCGTCTTTTATCGGATTATTGCTTCAATTTACAGGAGGTGGTTTTCCTGAATCATAAAAGAGCCTTGGGAGTTGAGCAAACTTCTTAGGTTTGGAATATTTTCACCTTTGGCAGGTACTTTCTGCAAAGATTATTTAAAAAAAAATTTTTTTTTTTTTTTTTTCATCTTTAGCATCGTTCTTGATAGTTTTAGGTTTTGCTGGTCATGATGGAGCTCTGATTTTATGGTAGGTTGTACAGGGCCATACACCTTTTAAGCAACTGGTGAAAAGGTATGCATTTAAAATAAGTCTGGATGTCAAGTTGTTAGACAAGTACAGTTCTATGCTAACAAAGAATGTAACAGTGTCAAGTATAGTGACAATTATTCTCATATTATTATTATTAAATAAAAAAAATGAGAAGAAATTGCTTGAATGCCTGGCTAACAGCTTATTTCTTCATAGAACTAGAGGACATCTTTTACATGTTTCCATGAGAGAAAGAATGTTGGTTTATACTGTAATAAACAGTATGCCTCCAAGCTTCTATGAATTCACCATCCTTGGCTAAAGCTTCATATCCGTTTTTACCGCTTGACCTGCATATCTGGGCCAAGGTATTTGATAGTATTTGCATTTTACAATTTTACACTTGAAGAAGCTCCTTAGTTGCTGTGGTACACCGACTGAATGGAAAATGCTAGATTATCATGTTTCATACCAATTAGTTGTGTGGATAAGTGATTGTCTATCAGTAATCAACATGCATAATAACTGGCATGAGTAAAAGTGTGTGAATTGGAGTGCTCATGCCACATCTTTCTGAGTAGGATTTTCATTGTTTTTATGTATTTATTCATAATAAAAGTTGTGCATTATTGCAGATTTGAGAATGAACTTATTGTTGCGGTGGGAAAAGGAGAGCCTGCTCAAGTAATGTCTGAATATGGATTCAAGTAAGCTTTTTTGAGACATCTGATTTGCTTTTGACGAAATTCATCAGAAATCTGCAATTTGTCCTGAGTTTAAGCTCTTAAATTGCTGTTCTGCTTATTAATCTTATATGCAGAAATGTTCTCTCAATAGATGAGTATGCATCTTATTTTGATGGCATTGATCCGCTTGCTCAATATAAGACATGGACAAGAAAGCAGGATGCTAAATGCAGTAGTGCTTCAAAGCAGATAACTACAAGGGACAGTGTCCACTCACAAAGAGTTCAAGCAGCATTTATTGTTAGTGATTCTGTTGATTGGAGCAGGGACATTCAGGTTTCACGAAATCTATGGCTTATCTGATAATTTATGAATTTATTTCGTGAAGAGTTAGGATTTTTTTTTTTTTTCCGGTCGATAGCTGGTCAACTCTTGCAAGGTACATTGAGTTTTTTCCCCTTCAGAACATCCTTGGGATGAGTGATTAAAATCCAAAATTTGACTTTCTTTGCATCATGGTGTCACAGTTGTGTTAATAATACTACGGTGATATACATTTTCTGAAAGAAACTAATCAGTATGTTAGAGGCCTGAATCAGGGTTTTAAATGTCAACCAATTCATATTATATTATGACAAAGGCATGTAATTGCATGCATATTGGTTCACATTGGCTCATGTGGAATAACTTTGCAGCATTAGCATTGGCTGATTAGGATTGTTATGCTGCCAGTTCCAGTCATTTTGCTAAACTATTTTAACAAGAGCTGCTCAACTATGAAAGCCACAGCCCTACATTTTTTGAAGCAACATTTGATATCATGACACTGTTGAAAATTTTTAGCATACAACTCGCTCTGAGTAGAATAAGATGCACAGAGAGAGAGAAAAGCAAGAGGAATTTGAAGTGATTCAGCAATCTGTGATTTCTTTTTTAACTGTGGAAGTGAATGTAACAAGTACCTATGTATATGATACTGGAAATTTCCTTTTTACAAGAAGCAATAGGGGAGACTCAGAATTGTAATATGAGAAACTCACCATTGCAAAAATAAACCGCATCACCTGAACCTCCCTAGGCTAACTTAACTATACTCCTAAAATGCAATATCTTTGAATATGTGCTGCAAACTCAGTAGAACTCTAACCTTGAATGCTACTACAATTTAAAAGCACATCATAGCCTTACTGAGCCAATATTACTGCTTTGAGCTTACATATCTTGGTGTTCCAGAGAGATGATTCAATACTGGCTACTCTTCCAGGGAAATTACAATTGTCTGGCTTGTCTGTTTTCTATAGATATAGAATCGGGGGGTAGTTGTTTGTTTCTGCTATACTAATTTGGTGAATAGATGACTTCAGTTCAGTTTTCGTTGATAGACTATCATCATCTTTATTAACTGAAATTAACCATTTGAAGGCGCTTTTAAAGTTGCTTCCTCTGTTATTGTTTTCAATCCATTTTTGAGCCTTAAATATGTTATGCATGAATTATTTGTCATTTCTATACTTGCATTCTGGTCCTTTTAGAATTTCTTAAACCAGATATTATCATTGTCTAATTCTTAAAGGTGCGAACCTGAATTGATTTATTGTGGATATTGGTGTTAGGTTCTGTGTGACATTTTAAGAACTGGAGGTCTTCCTGGAAGGGAGATTGGACACCAGCCACATCTATATTTTGCAAATGATGACCTTGCATACCAGGTTGATCGCTATTTTTGGTCCATTTTATTCCTCTTCTCTTTTGTAATCGAGTAGTTCTTGAAGTACTAATGTACTGATGAGGTGCCACTAAAGGTAGGCTACTTTTCCTTCAGAACGCCTTGGTATGGGAGCTTTCAGAATTGCATTAGAATCCATCTTCAACAGGTAAGGCAAAGTGCAGATAAAATCTATTTTGGATTGAAGCAATATGAGAATGCCATTACACATGTCACCTTGTCCAACGTAAAGAGAAGGCTATGTTTATTATTTCTTTCCTTTCTTCCCTTTGTTCTATTGGGTTGTGACCGTACATCTCAACTGACTTATACTGTAGTCTATTTTTCATAGGAGTCATTTGCTTGGACAAGATTAGTGGAAACTATAGTCTAATATTTTATACTGCACTAAATCCAAAATTAGTTGTGATGTCATGAACTTTCTTGATGACAACATTTTCAAATACGCAGAATTCACACTAATGCTCTGGAGTATACATCTTTTGGAAAGCCAAATCCATTTGTATTCAAGAATGCTGAAACTGTCCTAAAGCAACTTGTTCCATCTCTTCATCATAGCACTAATCCTGTGGATCATGTGAATGCTGAGCGAACTCATCATTTCAATACATTATATATGATAGGAGATAATCCTTCGGTTGACATTAGAGGTGCACGGCAGGTTTGTCTCTGAGACTAGGAATTTAGTTCCATATACTTATTATTTTTTATAGTGATCATAACGTATGGGTATGGCCTTATTCTTCTTCTGGCATTTCAGGCTGGAAAGCCCTGGTTTTCTATCTTGACAAGGACGGGAGTTTTCAGGGGAACAGAAAACGATTCCAAGTTTCCAGCAGATCTGGTAGGCAATTGAGAAAGTTGAAGCAGTTGCATTACAATCTTTTCATAATTCTATAATTTAATCTATGGTTCCCATTAATTTAATCTTTCCTCTTGAAAAAAATAAAATACTGGCCACTGTTGTACTGAGCTACATGCCCTTTGCTTTGCTTCGCTTCTTTGCAGGTTGTTAACACTGTGGAAGATGCTGTGGACTATATTTTGAGAAGGGAGTGTAACTAAGTCTTCTTTGTGTTTCGGAACTCAGTTATTCATTACCGAAGAGAAGAGAGATTGGAGGGTAAACGGTGTGGTAATGAGATCTTATAAGTGCAACACTGAAACATTCTTTGGCATTATGGTTGAAATTTTTTTCTGAAACAACACTATTTTAGGTGCTATTAAGAAAATTAGTTTTGGAGTGATGTTTAGTTGTTTTGTAGCTTTTATAATAGTAATGTAGTAGTATATGTGGAATTCAGCTTTGAAACAAACTTAATTGCCTTTTACCCATGTTTTGAATTTTTTTTTTCCCCCAATAACATTTCAAACGAAAATGCCAAACACTCCCTTAAGAGTGGCCAAAGTTCAAATAAACAATTAGCAAAACGACATCAAATTATTGATTCTTAGGCATAAAGAATTTCGGTCGTTTAATTGAACTTTTGTCAATTGTGAGCATATACGTTTGCTTGATGCCATCAAATCAAGATTAGGATAGAGAAGTGAGGGAGACAGGCAGTGAAGGGCAAAAATGCAAATGAAGAGGAGAAGACAATAGTGACATTGTGATTAGTTCACAGTTCACACCACATTCTTACACAATAGCTCTAAATCATTTTATTTAATTTCCACATGGTTTTCTAACATTCAAAGCTTGCTTTTACAAACTTACCAGTCTGTCTACAAAAACCTTGAGCACAAGGATTTAAACAATAAAATTCCAGAATCTGAGTGAGAATACTTCTGGTAACTCAGTCTGTCTATTAAACTGCTCAAACAGTGCAAAACATAAAAAATGTTCCAGAACTAATGCAATGCAATAAAAAGAACAGAGCAAGAAGACCTGAGCAAACTCTCCCAAGTCGTTGAGATTTAGAATTTTAAAACTTGTTTAGGTTGACTCCCTAATTTCCCAAGTGCCTTGTCCAAAGCTGTGTGAAAATTGTCAAAAGGTACCAGCTCCATTCTGCAAAGGCAGTTATGTCAACTAATGAAATATGAAAAATCAATACTACAAAACAAAGTAATGTTATAGAGAATGAAAGAACGCGTGCAAGTGAATTTGCACGTGGGAGGACATACTCGTATTTCAACTTCCCTTCTTGTGCAAGGGAAAGAAGATAATCTATCATATTTCTGCATTCTTTTGCTTTTTCTGAAGTCAACCATTTTTGCAACCAGAACCCCCTCAGGGTAAGATCCTGCAAACAAATAAACATGGACACAAGCAAGAACTTATACACACACTTGCTGTTTCTGAATTTGAAAGGAATTGAAATTAAAGAGTGCAGATTGAGGCACAAAATGACTCAGCAATTCAAACCCAATGCTCATATCTCCTTTCCTCCCAGAGGTAAAGAAGATTGAGATCATGTGATTTCAACTGGGCTCAGTTCCATCTTACGGAGAGAGTTAAGCTCTGTTTTGTACAAATGAATTCTTGTGACATTTGATATAAAAAAAATATTCATTTCACTCTGATAAATTCATTATTATAAATTTCCAAAAGACCATACCAAATTCAATCATTTATATATGAATTCCATATTTCGATTAATTTATTCCAAACAAGGATCAGTTAGATCACGCAGATCATCCTCCTGCAGAAATTTTATTTGTTCAAAAAGGATACTCATGTAGAAACCCCATATCCTGCTATGCAAAAGTTCATATCCATTATGTTGGCACCTTCTTTTCCAATTTCTATCGAGTTTATGTGTGATTAAGGAAAAAGAACTCAACACCAAGCTGTCATTTTCAACCGATTTCTTAACTGGTACTTCTTTGTTTTACTGGTTTGCATTAAAGATCAAACATCTTAAATAGATGATGCATTAAGTTTATATAGGCGCCATGCCTTCATTACAGATAACAACCATTAGATCAGTGCACTGCAACAACAAGATGAACAAAAAATAAAACAATGTTTACCTTAAAAATGAAGGAGGATGTTGATACAGTTACAGGTTTCTTAGACATTCCCCCATAAGTTACCATTGTTCCTCCTTGCCTGAATATGAGAGCACATTAGCAGGCTAGGACATATTGCATCTTTAACTAAAAGGAATGTTTAAATTTCTAGTGTATTTATCACTGGATGTCACACCTTAAGAATTTGAGAACCAAAGAAGCAGCATTGCCACCAACACAGTTGAATCCCAAAGCAGGTTCTGGTAAATTAGTCTAGCATATGCCAATGCAATGAAGACCGGTAAAGTTCAGTACCAATTGCTCAAAATCTAAGAATAAATCATATTCTGGAATTTGAATTTTAAGGATGCCAAACACATACGAGAAAAGAATAAACACCTCCTAATTCAGATAACATCATATATTCAAACATAAGGAGTCCATAGCTCATGATACCAGGAGACCCTTGACATTCTTCACTTCCAATTGGCTCTCAGTAAACACTTCATCAGCACCTAGTTTCTTTAAAGTTTCCTTTGCTTCATCTGAACCAGGCCTAAATTAAGCAAAAGACAGTAAGGAAAAAGTGTGCTGGCAGCCATTTATTATTTTAAAAAAATAAATAAATCGAAAGTGGCTTGCATTGCTAACAGCAAAACATATGTTCTCAAAAAACACAACTCAAGAGATGATATTGGATAATTAAAATAAGCCTTCCATGTCGGATCATCAATGTTAGAAATTTGTCTTAAGCTTAATCACATAGAGTATCTCCCTCAATTTATTTATTACAACTGTTTCCACTTCATTATATGTCGATACATAAATCACCATGATGAGGCAATTATGCTTTTCCACTATCAGTCTTGAATCTTTCTTTATCCATTTATTTCTTTTATGATTGTCAAGGCTCCAATAGACGTCATTGGAAATGTGATGAGGCACAAGCAACTTTGATCTTCCATCAACAACTTAGAGTCTCAGAAGGTAGAAAAGGAAAACCTCTATGAGGGTGCCCATGAACTCTAAAGTTAGCAATATAACTTGAAAAAGATTGCTGGCTAAATTAATCAAAATTGATATACAGTAGAGCATTATAAAGGCTCAATATAAGAAGATAAAAACTTAAAAGCATGATTGAAAAAGGATCCCAACTCCCAAAATATATGATAATAGTAGATCTCCAAAAATAATAATAATAATAATAATAATAATAATAATAATAATAATAATAAAGTGACCAAGTGCTTTTTGACAATTGTGTAAAAAAAAATTACACTATATTAGTAAGGCAAGAAGGCGAATATTCAAGCAAATAAAAGGATAGACTGGATGAAGATGAATATGTTTATAGGAATGTGGAAGTGCTGCCTAACACCTATTGAGAAAAAATTCAGAGAAATAAGATTGAAAAGAAGATATGCACAGTAGACCCAACAAATGCACCAACATGAGAGTTGGGCTCATTGAAGTTGTCACAAACCTTTTCAAATGTAGCATCGAACGAGGCGGAATAAAAAGAAAAAGAAAGAATAGAAACTGATTTTGGATTAGGATTAGTTAAGTTGAGTAGATTAGAGTAATCTCTTGAAGCAACTTCGGCCTTTTAATAAGCTCACAAAATTAGCCAGCAACTTAATATGAAAACACAAATATTCAATTTAAGCGAGCTAGACTACAATATTTCACTTCAAGCTGAGAATTTTGGGAAGCCTAAATAAATGAAGAGCAAAGCAGACATGCATCAACAATTGAAGACAGTGAGAGAAATTGAAATCGGAAGTTATATGAATTAATTGAAAGTTTCAAACAGCACCTGTCCCTTAATATATTAATGCTACGGATGCCGCGAAATTTTGCAATCTGAATGACACACTGCCCAACAATACTTGTAGCCCCATTTTGCACTACAGAATCTCCTGCTTGTATGTACCTTTATCAGATAAAAGAAAAAAAATTGAAAAATAGAGGACATCAGAATTTAATAAGGCAGTACCTGAATTTAGAGATGTGAAGTCTTCAAGCATTCTTAAAGCAGTTAAAGGATTAACAGTGACTGTTGCAGCATATTCCATGGGAGACTCTTTATTGATTTTGTGCCAGACACTCTGATCTTGTACAATGTAAGTCTGCCACGTCCCTAATGCAATAAAGATTTACAATTACTATCGTCTAGTAAAATCAAGCGAAGAAAAAAAAAAGAGGGAGTTCCAGTTCAAATTCCCATCAGCAAATGACGTTCAATGTTTGGCCAAAAAAATGCGTTTCGCCTATAATTACCTATCTAAAAAATGTCATCAAACATGCAAAATAAATATAGTATTAATAACATCTGTCTGTTCCTCAGTTGCAAAGAGGATATACAATTTCCTGGACTTAGTTTACTATTAAGTTATCGTAATTTGACATTCAAGTCAAGCAGCAATACCGTGTAAAAACTAAAGAGAAATAGCAAAAGAACTTAAATATTAAGAAAGCTTAACATTGCAACAACAATGACCAAAAATTAAAATTGCAGCCATCAAAGTAATCAAAAAGGCACGCACCAAAAGAGGGTGGAGATGGAATGACCCAATCACCAGGTGACAGATCCTTAACTGCAGAGCCTACAGAATGCACTTCTCCTACACCCTCATATCCTCCAACTGCAGGAACTGACGGCCTCACAGGGTAAACTCCTACGAGGACTCAAAAACAACATTACCCGATTGACTTCAAAGCAAAGGAACATAAACTCGCCTCAAACCGATTACTAATTTTTCAAAATTAAGCTAGAAAGTAAGAAACTTTACCTTCAATTCGATTGATATCAGACGGATTAATCGGAGAAGCCAACATTTTAACGCACACATCGTTAGCTTTTACTTCCACCGGTGGTACCTCTACCACTCTGTACCAAATACCCACTAATAAAAATAAACATAATTTGATGGAAATATATAATAGGTGCATGTGTATATACGTATGAGTGGGTTGGTACCTGGTGACGGAGTCAGGAGGGCCCTGCTGGTCGTAGACGACGGCCTTGGATGGCGGAGACATGAAGGCGGAGAATGTCCTGACTATTTGAGCTTGGGCACGAGGAATATGGCCCCACTTGAGATTGAAGAGAAGGGATGAGAATGGTTCATTGAGAACTTTCATGGCTGTTGACCTCATCATCATCATCGACGCCATTTCTGTATCTTTACTCTGTCTGGCAGCCCCTACTCGAAAGTAGAAGGAGGTTTGTCGAATGGCCTCAGCATTGATTGCTTTTTCAACGGTGTTGTATAAAGTTTTGGTCTTTTTATTTATTTATTTATTTCCCTCTTGTTGTTGGAACGTTGTCGTTTATTGTAAGTGCCAAGCTCTAATGGAAATAATAGGAACTCCACACTTGATAGAGAGACATGATAAATTCTCAACCATGACTTGAGGAACAAAAACATAAAAATAAAAAAACACAAATCATTTTCCGGAAACAAATTCGGCCTTAAAAAAATTAACTGAAAGTATGTTTATTTATTTTTAAAAAATTTACCTTTTAAGTTATAATTTTTTGTTATTCCATAAAACAATAATAATCAAGATTGACGTAGACTAACGAGTGATATTGTCGTATTTTATTATAAAAGAAAGGTTTAATCATTAATTTTACCCTGAACTTTTCGATTAGTTGCACTTTTATCCTTAATCGATCTTTGTATTATAGGCATTTTAAACTTATCAACTTAATTGCAATTATACCTAATTTGCTTTTAGGATGCAGTTACACTCTAAAAATGAATTAGAGCAATTTTAACGTATCGATCTGTTGCAATTCCACTCTAAAAATAAATTAAGATTGAAATTATAATTAAAATAATATAAAAATGGACTTCATAACTAATTCAAACCTAGTTAAATGCATAGCATTTGAATTAAAATAAAGAATTTATCATTTTTCTTTCTTGTCATTAATTTATTATTTTTCTCCTTATGTAAGAAATTAAATAAAAGCTATAAAGAGAGTGATAAAAGAATCTAACATATTTGTTTCGTCATCCTAGGAAGTCTAACCTTGAATTAGTATCAAATTCATTATTTTTGCATCTTAAAATTTATTTAATTTCAAAATCAAAAATGTAATTTTGATTTTTTTATGTATTATATAAATAATTGGGTTCAATTTTATTATTTATTATTTAAATACTTAGATTGGTTATGGAGTCAATTTTTTTACATTATTTTAATTATAATTCCAACCTCATTTTGTTTTTAGGTGAAATTACAATAAATTTAAAGCGTTCTAATTCACTATTAGGGTAATGTACCCAAAAAGCAAATTATAATTTACTTATAACTAAATTAATAACTTTAGGGTAGTCGGTGTAGAGTTCGGGGCGCGAAAGAAATGAGGTTATGACTACATATCGATTTGGCTTAGACTTGGTCAAAATGGCTAGACGACCTTTACATCTTGCAAGGGCTAATAACGAAGACACATAGACCCACCTCTAGACAAGACAACCACCCAACCAAAAGGCCTCTTTTGGACGGAAAATCTTCAATTTTGGAGTGTCCAAAGTTGAAGCCTTCATGCTCGTCCCCCAAAAAAGGTCTGGCATGTAATTTATGCTTTAAATTTTGAGTATTCCGCCTATTTTTATACATGCCTCTCCGACCACTAGACTTGCTTCAATCCGATTTCAACTCACTTATCTAGTAAAATAATACAAAAATAAAAGAGTTTTTAAATATTATTGTTTATTTATTTTTCTTACAAGTGAAAGATCTGAAAATACTCTGTTTCAATGAAAATTCAATTTTAATTGATTTTATTTTTTTATTGATTTTGTCTTTGAGTTGGCCTATAGACTCAATTAATGGTGTCAAAATAAATTAGTGTGTAGGAGTCGACACTAATTTGTCTAATACGCGATAAAATTAGAGTCAATACGAATATAATTCATTTAATAATCGTATTTTCAATATTTAAATATGAATACAACGTGAAAATTAAACAAGTGATACGAACACGACACACATAATTTATTTAATTAAATGGATCGTAAATAGATTATATACGAGTTAGAAAACTCCATACATATAATAAATATTGTAACTCCCACCAAATAAGATGTTAACTTAAGATGTTAGCTTACAATTAGGCAAAATCGACATTGGAACAATGCAAGGAAATAAGTGGACATATAAGTTCTTAAGAAATGACCGAGTCTCGCCTATTCCTCGAAAGAAATTTTAATGGGACCCCTATCATCCTGAGCCAAATCCTATTTTCCTAAAACAAACTAATGGCAGTTGGAATGATATTAACTCCTATTAATGTATTATCTATATTACGCCAGATATATTAACATACCTTAAACTTATAAGAAGCCTTTTGAGAGTGATGGATAGTCACTGTGTATTTAGACTAAATTAATAATTATTATTTTAAGTTAAATATTTTTTTAAGATTGTTTTATTTGTTTAATTTAAAATAATAATGATTGTTAAATATTATTATGAAAAATTTTTAGCTAATATTTTTTTTATTTATATAATACATTCATTTTGTAAAAATAAAAAATATATAGTATATAATAATTTATAGAACAATTATGTTTTTAATAATTTTTTACATCTCAAACGGCAACCATTATTAAAATTTTATCAAACAACCAATAACTTCGAACATCGACCTTCTAAATCTAATGCCTCGAGAAAATCCAATGTTAATTCAATAATTATGTTCCAAATTTCGTCCCGTCCTAACACTTAGGTATTTCCATCTCATTTTTTTCTACTAAATTATCGGTGACTTTTTTTATAAATCTCAAACCATATCTATAAAAATCATTTTCATAGTTTGTATTTTAGTTTTTTTTTTTTTTTTACATTTCGTCCGTCCTAACACTAGGTAGTTTTACATCTCATTTTTTTCTACTAAAATTTATCGTGACTTTTTTTTTTTAATAAATCTCAAAACCATAATCTATAAAAATCATTTTCATAGTTTGTATTTTAAGTTTTTTTTTTTTTTTTATAGTTTGTATTTTCTTTTTTTTTTTTTTTTACACTAATCACTTGTTAAGGTGATAATAATATTAAAAAAAATAATATATTATATTTTAAATATAAAATAAATCAATTAAAATAAAATTTTCAACCAAGTTTTTCCTTTATTATTCTTCTACATGTGTTAAGTAAATTTTTCTGAATAATTTTTTTATTAAACAAAAGACAAAAAGATTAATTTATATAAGAGAAACAGTAACTCTAATTAATCTAATTATTGATTATGCTTAATGTTATCATTAGAGATTAGATTAAAGACAGAAAACAAAACTTATTAAGGACGAAAATGAGATTCTATTTTTTTCATCGCTTGATATTTTGAGATGGACTGCACATTATGTAATCTCTATTTTTAATCAAATTAATCCTTCTAAAGTTACCAATTACTATAAATAATTAAATCAAATTAATTTTAAAACTTATTGTCCGACTAATTCGGATTCACATAGAATAAGCTCATAAAAGATGCAGAGTGCTCATTTTCAATATTTAAAGAGATATAATATTTATTATTCAAACTTGAGACCTTGTTGATTACGAGAGAAAGATTCATGTCATCAATTTCATCCGTGGGAGCTAATAAATAGCATGTCTTTTTTCTAAATGAAGCCAAATAAATGACGAAATCACTTTCCATTTTTTACATATTTATGATATAATTAATTCCACACGTTCACTACTAAGATCATATGAAAAACACTTCTCCTTGTTTCCTTTCAAAGATGACTTGCCTTTTATACAACTAATCTAAATTGCATTGCATCTGGACCACGTGTACTCTACGTGTCCTTTTTAGGACCTCAAAAATCCTGGGTTATTATTTTAAATCTTTTGCAATATTGCAAAATTGAAAAACTTAATTAAAAAACAAAGAAGTTTTGCTTTGTGGATGAGCAACCACCAAAGCCTTAATTAATAATATACTTACGAGTTCTTTACACAAATATATCCTTATTTTTTATAAAATTCGTAATCAATCATCAATAATGAAATATAAATACAATATAAAATTCTCATAAGAGAAACGAGAAATATAGATAATTAAAATATTCTTTGAAGATAGTTTATAAAATGATAAAAGAAATTTTCTGTAATTATATTTTTACTAATTTTATACCGCTCGAGTATTGTAGGGTCATATAATCTCAGCATGGAATTTTTTATAACTACGGCTTTAACTCGAGATCTTTAATTAAGAGATAAGAGTATTTACCTAACCTATTAGGATTTCTTCTAAAAGGCAATCCACTAATTAAACCAACATGGTATTAATTAGTATTTATAAAGTTGCTTTTCAAAAGCACAATTTATAAATATATTCCTTCTTTGAGGAATCAAATCTCTTTTGCAAAAAATGCATGCTAAATATATAAAATGCAAAGGTAATTTTGCCATGCTATGGTTAAATTTTGCATTTGTGAATTGTAACACCCAAACAGATTGCTTATTTTATATCTCGTTCTCTCCTCTATTCTACCTGGAAGGTAACAGAGAGAGTACTATTTTCAATATATATATTTATACTATTAAAAGAAATGAATTCGGATTTAGGTGAATTTAAATAAAGTGTATTTTGACGTTTAGGTAGTTAATAGCATTATCGATTGTATTAAATGTGGAAGTGCAAGATACTTAAAAAGCAAATGATGCATTAAATGCCATTTAAAATTAAGATAATTTCTTTCTTAAAAAAAATGAAGATAATTTCCTTATCTTTATGTTAAATAAATAAATAATTTATTTATTATTCTCTCCGTTCTATTTATACAGATAAAATCAAAATTTATTTAGGATTAAGGAGGTGATATTTTTTGTGAATTTTTTTTCTAATTTATTCTTGAAAAGATATTAAAGTGGTCCCTAATTTTTAATAGAGTAGTACTATTCGGCTCATAGTGATCATAAATCGTGGCACGTTAAATGACATATATAATCTTGAGTGATTTTGGAGGGATAAATGGATGGAAAATAAACTTAATTTTGGAGGAAATGTTTGCCTTAAATACATGTTCTCACAATTAATTATTTTACTTTACTTTATCACATAATTAATTATATGTGTTGTTGAAAATGATGATAATCATTAATTTTAACTTAATTATTTTTTACATCATCATGTTTATTGGTCATGATTAATTTGATTCAAGTCAATCAAAATAATTTATGTACATAATAAAAATTTGAAGTCTAAAATGAATTCTATAAAGATTGAACAACACCCAAGTAATTATAAATTAGACTGGTAATCAAACCGGCATCATGACCGGATCAAGTTGAATCGGATTGGACAAGTTCAACTAGATTTTTAAGTTCTAATTTTTTAATATTTTTACATGTGTGTATGTAGCAGCAAAATAATTTTCAACCCAGTTTTCTAAAAAAATTTCAATTTTTTCAAAAGAAAATCGATTGTTATTAAGAGAATCTGGTTTTGTTCGGTTTTATCAAGAAAATCCAGTTTTTATCATCGGTTTAACCTGATTTTCTCAAAAAAAGAAAATATTTTTTTTTCAAAAATCAGTCCAAATTGATAATGGAATCGAACAACCAATTGGTTTTGGTTTAACCGGTTCAACCAATCAATTCGATTCAATTCTAACAATACTATATATGAATATCTTTTTAATTTATTTGAGAGGATACAAAATCCTACCACATGAATGCTTTTAATAAAAATTTTTTAAGTCTAAATTCTATATAAAAATTTTAACCATAGTATGGATCCTACAATTTTTCATACCTAATTGAAAAATTTTTAACTTGACTAAATTTAATTTAATTATTGTGTGACCAAGTGCAACTTTAACTAATTGTTACTTAATTTTTTATTCCATTTTAGTTATCTTAATTTAATTTAGTTCTAAGCATGAGACTTCATCGATCATTCTCATATGTTATTTCATATATTGTTTTTTTAATATCCTTTCCTTAAAGCACAAAAATAAATTCAGTAGGATATGAGAGAAAAATGAAGGTAAATACAAATAATATATATATAATATTTAATTCATAAACAAATAAAAACTAGAAATCAAGAATTTAGTCCTACTGTAAAATTGATCAAGCATAAAAATATAAAAACTAAAAAGAGAAAAAATATAAAAGAGCTAACATTAGCTCGAGATGAAAAATTAGAAGCAATGGTATATCAGCATTTGAAACTTTGCTTTAGTCGAACTAAGCTTCTAATTAGAATTTAAAAATATTTGAAACTCTCTTTCTATTTTGGATAAGATGAGTTGATTATCATAATGATGATAATAATAATAAAATAATAATAAAAATAAAAATAAAAATAAGATAATGACAATAAAAAGAGATAAAAGATATTTTTGAAATTTAAAAAATTAAAAAACTCAAAAATTTATAAAAAAATAATAATAAGAGAAAGACATATATTTTTGAAATTTTAAAAATTAAAACAAAACTCAAAAACTTATATAAAAAAGAACACAATGAATGCTCAAAGAAGACAAATATATCGATCCTGCAAATTAAAATAAAAGAAGATTCTATTAGGCAACGAAGATTCTATGAGGCAGTGATTTTGATTAATTTAGAAATACCTTAAGTAAGAATTTATAATTAGGCACCTCCTACTCGGCTTCTTAACCTTCCATTTACTGGAAGCAGTTAAAAACGCGGAAGCGATACGATATAGGCTGTTTTTGAATTTTGTGTTTTTCACCATTTACCCTTCCAACCACAGTTGCAAATTTCTTGCTACTTTCCTTTCCGTTGTTTACCTTGTCAGGGTAAAACGGTCAAATCATCTGAACACAACGGCGATCTGGTGCACTCATTCCTATCAAAACGCAAAACAAACTCAAGCATCTGATTGGCTCGTGACTGTTTTGGCTTCTGCGGTAGTGCTGGTGTTGATTATAGCTGGACGCATAGATCGATCACCACCATTCATTAAAAAGTGTTTAAATGCGAAAGCGCGTTTGAATTTTTGTCAGTTGGGTCCCACTTGGCGGTGAGGTGAGCAGTATTTATTTTTTCATTTTTCAAATTTTTAAAAAAGCATTTGACTTGTTAACACTCGTTTCGAAAATCAGACGGCGATTAATGGCAGCTGTGTATTTACGTACGTCACGGGCAGGTAATGCATTAAAAATAAATAATTACGTAGATATATTTTTTATTTTTATCTTATTGCTTCTAGAGAAATGACAAAGATCTGTTGGTACACCAAATCACTGTGAAACTAGCACCCAATTGCCACGTCATCACCAGTACACAACGGACAAAAGGACGACGCCACTGCTGCTTGAACTTATTGACAAAAAAAACCCCTGGTTTTCCACGTGTCAAATGTACTATTGGTCAATTCATGTAAACAGTTTTACCCTCCTCTTATTTCATTCAGTGGAAGTTTCTTATTGGTTTCCTCGCAACAAACGCTGTACTTCTGTTTCCACTATAACAGGGCAGAAGAGAATATAATATAATAGAAAACAGAAAATATAAAAACCCCTAAAATTGTAAGGGAGCTCATTCATTTCTGTCTTTCTCCCTCTATACATTCTCTGCATATATTTTTTTTTTGTTCCCTTTCTCTGTTGATAGACAAGAAAGGAAGGAAGAAGGAGGAGGAAAGAAAGAGAGAAAAATTGATAAATATTATTACTAGCAGAAATAATATTGATATGGGTTGTTTTCGCTGCTCTGGAAAATCAAGCAAGCGATCAGAGAGCAGCATCAATAGTAGCAATAAACGCAACGATCAAACACGACCCACTTCAGGTATTTTATCTTACATTTTGTGATCAACTGGGTTTTTCTTTTACGTTTTGTTTTTGATTTTTGAAATGTAATGTAATGTAATCCTGTTTTTATTGTTTGAATTCTTGTTTCTTCTTTTTCTTTCGGTGTGTGTGGGACCCTTGCCTTTTTCATCTTCGAAAATTGATGATTTCTTGTACTTTGGATGTCAATTTGATAGTTATTATTATTAATAATATTATTAATAAACTGAATGATAATGATAATTTTGATTTTTTGCTAAGATGGGTTGAAATGATCAGTGACTCAAAAATGTGATATTTTTTCTTTTTTATTGAAGTCTTTTCTCCATATTGTTCATGGAGAGGCAGTTTATCTTTTGTTTTCTTGGTTTGGGATTATATGTTGTTGTTACATTACTAGTTTCTTTTTGTTTTTGTAAAATCGGACCTAAGCTCCAAAACCTTCCCTTGGGTGTTCTGTTTTTTATTTTCCTATTGTTTTTTTTTTTTTGTCTTTGGCGTGTTCTTTGTTTGCTTTCAAATTTGATGGCTTTGGCTTTTCTATACCCTTAATCATATAATTTCTTTTGGGCTTTTTCTCTCCATGTGCTTTTTTTTGTGTCTTTTTTTTATTTACCTTTCATTTTTAACAATTTTTTTCTCTAAATTTTTGGGTTTGTGTTTTTATTTGTTTTACAGGATCATTGAAAGTAAAGCCATGTGCAAATGTAAACACAGAGGAGGCTCCTAAAAATGATCGATTATCTTTGGATGTCAATCATTCAGATTTGATGGATGCAGTCACCAAGGACCCAAGAAACAAAGGGAAGCTTGCACAAACATTTACCTTTGAAGAACTTGCAGCTGCAACAGGCAATTTCAGGAAAGATTGTTTCTTGGGGGAAGGAGGTTTTGGCAAAGTTTACAAAGGTTATTTGGAGAAAATCAACCAGGTTGGTACAAATGAGTACATTGATATTAAAAATTGCATTGAATATATTCAGCTAAATAGAGTATATATGATATAATATTGAGTGACTTTTTAATACTCACTCATTGTATTTTGCTATAGTGCTCCTTTTATATTGTCTTTATTTGTAGTTTTCTTGTAATTAGTAGCAAGGCTTTAATTTTTGTTGTTGTATTTGATGTAGGTTGTTGCTATTAAGCAACTTGATCTAGATGGCCTTCAAGGTACTAGGGAGTTTGTAATTGAAGTATTGACATTAAGTCTAGCGGATCACCCAAATCTTGTCAAATTAATTGGATACTGTGCTGAAGGAGATCAAAGGCTATTGGTCTATGAGTACATGCCATTGGGATCTCTAGAGAACCATTTGCACGGTATGCAGCCCTACCATCTTGATTGCTTACTTTAATACCTTAACAAGTACTTTGAGTCTTATTTTATTTTTATTTTCTGTTTACAGATATTTGTCGCAATAGTAAACCACTTGATTGGAACACAAGAATGAAGATTGCAGCCGGTGCAGCACAGGGTTTGGAGTACTTACATGAAAAAATGAATCCCCCTGTTATATATCGTGATCTGAAATGCTCCAACATTTTGCTTGGTGAAGGCTATCATCCAAAGCTATCTGATTTTGGCTTAGCTAAAGTGGGACCCAGTGGTGACAACACTCATGTTTCTACAAGGGTTATGGGTACATATGGATATTGTGCGCCAGACTATGCGATGACTGGTCAGCTCACATTTAAATCAGATGTTTATAGCTTTGGGGTGGTCTTTTTGGAGCTCATCACAGGCAGGAAAGCAATTGATGAGACAAAGGACCGTGGTGAGCAGAATCTTGTAGCTTGGGTAAGATAATTTATGGCTTATATCCTTGTTATTGTATTAGTGTAGGTTTCTTGTTAGACTATGTGAAACTGCCTGTTTTGTGATAACATTTCAAATCAGATTAATATGGATCATAGGATTGTTTTGATTCTAGATGGCTTGTGATTGGTTGCTACTTGCTAGCAATCATCAAAAGAACAACTCTTAATGGATTGATGTTTGAGTCTGAATGAGTGCTCTATTCATGTGATGATTATGCTGTTGCTCAATTCTGAGTCTCATCATTTGGTTCCTTTCTGATGAATTTGGAAAGCAACCGACTGATTTTTATTGTTCCAATTATGGTTGCTTTTCCCCTCTTATGTAATCTTTATCTTTTGAAATCAGTTCTGAATTTTTGTAATTAGTTTAGGATTAGATAATGCTAGAATATCTTTACTATGTACCATGCTTAAGAAGTCTTTTAAAGATAAGGTTTTTGCTTGTTTTCTGGATGGATAGTGGTTATGCAACAAAGTTTGAACTGCATAACTTAGAACATCAAAGGGCTCTGGCATCAACTTTGTTTTGTTTTATTTCGAGTGAAAAAATGGTTAATGGAACTTTTAGCTGAATTGATGAATTCCAATGCATACTGACACAGATTTCTTCGTGTCTTTTGGTCTCTTTTTTAATTTCTGCAAGTTATTGCAAGCTTTCAAATAGGTCATGGGCTAAGAATTAACAGAAATGTAGACTTTGATGGAGTATTTGTTTGATGACTGTGTTTTAGAAGCTTAATTCTTATTTCTGATAATTTGGCAGTCATTGTATAATTATCTGATTATTAGTTTGAAGAAGAGAAATTAACTAAGAGTTACATCATTGATGAGGCTTACGAAAACTCTCGAATTCTTTGCAGGCGAGACCTATGTTCAAAGACAGGAGAAACTTTTCACGGATGGTTGACCCTTTGCTTCAAGGCCAATATCCTATGAGAGGATTGTACCAAGCTCTTGCCATTTCTGCAATGTGTGTTCAGGAGCAGCCTAATCTGCGACCTGCAATAACAGATGTGGTTATGGCTCTGAATTACTTGGCTTCCCAAAAATATGAGCCAGTAACCTCTCCTCCAGTCCAAGGCTCCCACAATGTTCCTCCAGTCCAAGACTCCCATAATGTTCCTCCAGTCCAAGGCTCCCATAATGTTGTTTCCACTGTCTAATGCGGAAGAGTAAATAATGGCCGATAGTGTTTCTTTCTAGTGTTAATACACGAGATGCCTGGTATCAATTTTTGTAATCATGGGGATAGCAGGCAGTAGTTTCTTCATAAGACCCTCTCACACAGGAAAATTCTGTCTCCCCCCCATAATGTTTCCTCATCCACAGGCTCCCATAATGTTGTTCTCCACTGTCTAATGCGGAAGAAGTAAATAATGGCCGATAGTGTTTCTTTCTTTAGTGTACTACACGAGATGGGCCTTGGTATCAATTTTTGTAATCATGGGAGATAGCACAGGGCAGTAGTTTCTTCATAAGGGACCTCCTCACACAGAAATTCTGTCTCCCCCACCCCCCCCCCCCCCCCCCCCCCCCCCAAAAATTGTCCCTTTTTCTCTTGCTGTACATGTTAGCTGGCAGTCTTGTACGGAAGATGTCTCTCTGTAGGAACCATTTCCTATTCAATAGAACTTAGCCATTTTTAATATTCAACATTTTCCTTTATTTTTCTGTATTAGCCATTTTTAATATTCAACATTTTCCTTTATTTTTCTGTATATTACATTATTTATTTTTCTGTACATTGTCTGTACATAAATATTTTATGGGAAAAAAAAAATTGAGAACGGGTAAAATTAGGTTGCAAAGAGAATATTTAGGCATAAAATTGAATAATTTAACTTTTATTCGAGAAGAGTAATTTATAAATTTTTACATTATAGTTTCTGAATCACATTATAAGATTTTCAGCACATAAACTACAAAAAAATAATGGACAAGTAAAGAACTTGTATATTCAACATTTTCCTTTATTTTTCTGTATATTACATTATTTATTTTTCTGTACATTGTCTGTACATAAATATTTTATGGGAAAAAAAAAATTGAGAACGGGTAAAATTAGGTTGCAAAGAGAATATTTAGGCATAAAATTGAATAATTTAACTTTTATTCGAGAAGAGTAATTTATAAATTTTTACATTATAGTTTCTGAATCACATTATAAGATTTTCAGCACATAAACTACAAAAAAATAATGGACAAGTAAAGAACTTGTAGAATTAGCTACTGTTTGGTTAATCTGAACCAATCCAAACTGAATAACTCAATTCAAATATAGCTGAATTTCATTAAATTATTATTCAATTCAAATTATATTTAAAATAAAATCGAAAATAACCGAACCAAATAATATGCAGTTTTATTACAAAAAAACCGCAATATCCAAATAACTGGATTAATATTTTCAGTTGGTTAATCCAAACTGATTACGAGAAAATATCTAAATGCAAAATTTGTCAATATATGTGTTTCTGTCTTCGTACAATTTGCACTCTTAAAGCAATTATATACATATATTTATAAATTTATAGACAAATCTATAGAATAAAAAAATAAATAATAAAATTAATTAATTAATCCAACAAGTCACAAGTGTCAAAACAAAAATTACAAAGACAGTCATATCTAAATCCAACTATCCAAATAACAATTAATATAATTAACATTAAAAGAAGCATTTATTAAACTTTCAATTACAAAATTACGGTTAGTAACCCATTAAGCATGATTTTCTTTGTCAATGATCTCAAAAGTTATACCATATTGTTGTCATCCGTCACAAAAATTATACAAATAATAGTTTTTACTCTTGGTTTTATTTTAATATGGGGGTAAAAATGTAATGTTTTGACAAAAAAAAAGAGAAAAATATCTTGAGTACTAATTTGGTTAATTTGGCTTGACCAAAGTTTTTTTCAGACTAACCACACCATAACCGAAAAACTAAATTAATATTTATAAGTAACTAATCAAAACTAAAATTAATCTATTGACAGCCGAACCAAATCAAAATTACTAAGTACGGTTTGAATTTTTAGTTTTATCAGCAAATTGCTCACCCCTAGCTACTGTATGAAACCAAATCCGAACCAAAAACCGTTGGGTTACCACTGTTAAAGACCTAATTCAATCCGAATCGGTTCGGTTTTTGTTAGTTCCGACTACTGCTCATTCCAAGAACAAGGTTATTAAGTTAATCACGTGACTTGCACGTGCAAGTAATTTCCCGCCTAAAAGGTCAAGTCGTTAAAAACCCAACTAATTAGAAACTGAATCCCACAACAGCACGACCAAGAGCAATGCCCTCCAAAAAGAATCCAGTTACCCTTTCTTGTCACTCACCCCTTGTTCGCCAAAAATTCTAATTTTCTCTCTTTATCTTTATCCTCTCACTAAATGCAGCAGAGGCCTACAAGCTCATCTCGAGCACCAGAAGAGAACTGTGTGATCAAAGTGACACTGCCTATTCAACAAGCAGCCAAATACTCTCCAAGAAGCTCAAAAATGGATGAATCTGCCCAACTTCCTGTCTACAAGAGAGATAATAAGGACATTACATACTCAAGATTCGCCTCTGAGAAGTTGGTCCATGCCATTCCTGCTCTTGTCTTGCTCTGCCTCTTCACTCTCTGGTGGTTCTCTTACCCAGGTACTCGTATTTCAAAGATTTCAATAAAACCCTTTTCTGGTTTTCATTGTTCTTATTTCTTTAATTGATTTCTGGGTTCTATTTGTTGTAATGGTTTCTTGATCAGATATATTTCTTGTCTATTACCGGGTTATTGATTGCTTATTTTTGGAAGTGAGAAATTATTCTTCAAGATTCATGAGAAAATATTCTCAAAATCCGATTTTAGTAGTATCTTCAACGTCAATTTTTGGGTTTTCTTTTTTGGGATTTCTTACAATTGTTAATTTGAATTTTATTGGTGCAAGAACAAACCATATACGCAGTGGATTTTTGAATCAATGAGGAGTTGGGGAAAGAAAATCATTAAATTGGGGGATTAAAATTTCTTCCATCTCTGTGTTAAATTTCTCTCCATCTCTGGATTAAATTGGGGGATTGAGTGAAGGAGATAAAAAGTACCTCTTTTTTTCCATAATCTAACTTAATATGATTCATTTTCTTATCTACTCTAGGTGAGAAAATTGACAACTTAATAATTAAAATGAATAATTTAGTGATAGAAATCACTTTTATTTTTCATATTCACTAATTATTTGTGTATTTTTGAAAGCAGTAAACCTGGAGATGAAGGATGGCAAGATTATGGCAATACATCGTGTTGAGATGCCAGAGCCTGTCGATAATAATCATGTCGAACTCGCCATCTTGGCATCTGCTAGATCACCAGTTGCATCTGTTCCTCAGAATGCCACAGCAGCAAATAATGAAATGGAAGCTCATCCTGTAAGTAAAACCGGTTGACGGTAAATCTGTGGTTTACTAGGAGAAATGGTGAACATTACAAATGAATAGTTTTGATACCAAGAGTGCATGAGTTGTTCGTTCTATGAAAGTGTAAGACTAGATAAAAGACAACTTGTAGCATCTAAAAATTTCTTAGCAAAAGCTAGGATTGCTGGTGAACTTGTATCAAATTTACATAGATGGAATAGATCAAAGAATGAAAATTTGTAGGTAAATTTTCTACTCGGTGATGTGAATTGAAAATCTGATATAAAAATTGATGTTCTGAGTTCTATTTCCATTGATACCCTTGATTTGATATTTATTCTTGAATGCATTGGGCAATCTTTGGGAAAGATGAAGTATAGGTTCCTCACTGCTATTATAAACCACTAATCTCACCGTCTCGGCAATTGCCCACCCATAAGTACATAGTTGAGGGTCTGTTCGTTGGCAGAACTCTGCAGCAATCCCTTCTTGGTGACTGCAAAAGAAATTGTGATGCAGTTAGTAATAGCTTCAAGAATAGCAAAAGAAATGAAGGAGTAAATTTTTACTTCCTTGGAATTAGTTTTTTTGCATGACCAATTCTTTGAAACATGAAAAAGAACATAAAAACAAAATATACTAGTTCAAAGTATTGCATTGTGAATTTTACAAGGTTTTCGAACACCTTACCTGCTGCCACCGATTAATATCTGGCCTCTTCAATACTACAATAGAGTTAATTTTTTCTGGAGATGCCATCCTCCACCGGCAAAAAGGAGGACGAGCTCTGTGGCGAGAGTAGACTCCGACTGTTTGTTTCCTAGCTCGATCATACTTAGAAGTGGTCATGTAAAAAACAAAAGGCTTCAAACACGGGTGCTTTGTTACAGGCCTTGTGTTGAATGCATATGCAGTATAATCAGCTTTTCGGTACCAATTAAGAAATGTTCTTGTTGGCATCTCAAGCTCTCTAGGAGAAACCACTCCTCTCCATATTTGAACAACAAATCCCCAAGACACTGAGATTGACCAGTACCTTTTGGTATCGTAGCAGATGGATTGCTGCATTATGCTAGCTGAGTCGAGCTTGACAGATTCAAATAGGTGTTGTATAGCTTTAGCTCTAGTCATACCAGGAAACACTGGTTCTACCACATCAAGGTGATGTAGAGATGCCATTGGAGTCACAGGATGTGCTCCTAAAAGACCTAAAAGGTCTCCATATACATCGTACTGCATAAACACAGTCAAAAATCACTAATTAGGTACTCTGCCTCCAAATACAATCACCAAAAAGTTAAAAAGACTTGGACAGTTTATTTGCACCTGCATTTCCAAAAAAAGCACCATTTTTAGATGCTGATGGAAAACAAGAGCTTGCTGTATGGTTGTTTTAAAGCTTTATGACTAGAAAATATCAAATTCATGCTAGAAAAGTAAATTTTGGTTATCTTACATTTATAAACAACAGCTGAAATATACCTGATGAAACCCTGCTTCCCTGGTGAGTGGCACTCCTATCTCAGCCATACAAGCCTGAATTCTATCATCACTTCCATACAATCCAGGATATCTCTGAATGCAAGTATCTTGCATCTTGGCCAACTCTTGAGCCAAAGGGAAACTTATCGCAAATCCGCCCCCTCCGTAAGCCATAGCATAAGAGAAATATATATTCTGAAGATGACTCTCAGAAGAGCTACCAATATAATAAAATTGCCTATGATCAAATTTAGAAAGAATTCTAACCACATTATCAACAACAAAAACTGTATCATCATCTCCCATTACAAACCACCTGACATCTTTTAATCCAAGCCTTAATGTCTCAGAAACAACCCTTGAAATCCTTATTGCAGATCTGTCACCTTGTCTATTAGAGTACTTAAATTTTGATGTATCTGCAGAAACTCTTATTTCAGGCAATCCTTCATTTCTTCTACTTCTTACCTTTTTATCAATCCAAACTATACCTCTAGTCTCTTTAGGTCTCCACCAAATTTTGACATATTCTTTTCTTTTTTCCCATAGATTGGCGGATGCAGCTATTCCAAAAACGATATGTTTGAGCTCTGTATTGTAAGTTTGTGACTTTTGAGGAAGTAAAATTGGGTCTAAAGTGTCTTGCTGTCGTTCTTGCTCATTGATGTGGATTGATGTGGTCATGTTGTTAAGGAATGCAAGATCTTTTTCATGACTAATACATTTGCGATCTTTGTTTAAAAGAAGATGAGATGAGTAAACAATGTAAAGCATTCCAAGAACGACAAAGATCCATATTATTGTCTTTCTAAAGCCTGTTTGCGGGAATCTTTGCTGTGTAGTAGTAGACATTTTATTTTTCTTGGTTTTCTTCTTTCTTTTGATTTTGTTTATTTTGTTTTTCTTTGTTTCTGCTTCTCTCCATCCATGGAGATGGAGATGAGATTAGATAGAGAATTCTTCGGATCTGAAGAAAGGAAAAGATGAGTATTTTTTTTTTCTTTTTTGTCTTTAATTTTACATTTCTTGTTTTAAAATGAAAATATAATCGATTAATTACGTGCAGTTCAATTAATAATTGGATTCATTTATTTTATTTACTTTTAGTTTTGGTATTTAAATTTAATTAAAGTTGCTTATTGGGTAATTATATGGAATTAGAGTTTCGTTAGTCCTATCTTAACGATCTAAGATATACTATCCTCAAGTTTAGTTTTTTTTTTTTTTTTTTTTTTTTTTTGTATTTAAATTTAATTAAGTTGTTATTGCGGTAATTATATGGAATTAGAGTTTCGTTCAGTCCTTATCTTAACGTCTAAGATATACTATCCTTCAAGTTTAGTTTTTTTTTTTTTTTCTTTTTTTGAAATTTGGGAAAACGAATTGGTCGTTATATACAATTGCATTATTATCATAATTCAGACAATCATCGTAAGGGCTCGTCGTTTTCAAAAATTGTCAACTTAATAAGATTTGTGATCGACTCAAACGACATCAGTATGGTCCGATCTCATGTATTTCCAGCATCTCTCACACCACCGTTAGCCGAACAACGAACTGGATCGATGTGCACGTTTAGTTTTTTTTTTTTTTTTTTTTTGAAATTGAAAAACGAATGTCGTTTATACATTGCATTATTATCATAATTCGACAATTCATCGTAAGGGCTGTCGTTTTCAAAAAATGTCAACTTAATAAGATTTGTGATCGACTCAAACGACATCAGTTGGTACGATTATGTATTTCAGCATGTTAGCGAACGATGGTCGATGATGGGTTCGCGCAGTTTGTGAAAATGGCAAAAGATCAAAAAACAACCAACGACGTGGCGTTGAAATTATGAGTAAAATGAGTTGTGGACGCATGTCTTGCACGGACTAAAATTGAATGGTTATTTTAATAATTATTTAATTAATTACCAATTAAATGAACATCTACAACAAAGGTAATTACCATTTCTGCTTGAGGTGAGAAATGGAATTGAAGCAGCATAAAATTTTGAGGAAATGCGAAAAAGCCTAACATCCAACATTAGATCTAAGTCAAGAATTGATTTGCTGCCTCAACCTTCTCTTTTACCAACCAATCTACAAGCTGATACCTGCTTTGTTAATGTGTTTTAACTCCACTTGATTCATTTGGGATGTTATCATATTAAATTTGTTGAATCTTTCCTAGCAATGCTACAACCATTTTTGTTTCTGAAAAATCCAATTTAAAGCATTTCGAGAGTCAAATTTAATAATTAAAGGATAAAAATTATATTTAAGGATTCAATAAAGCTCTACAGCAGAGAAAAAAACGATAACTTCTACTTCATTCAAATTCAAAATACCAACTGAATTATAAAAAATATATACAACCTGCCCAAAAGAATTTCTTAGACGACACCCACCTCAAGCCCCGGTTTTCCTATTGCATAATCATCCACATTGATTCATTTTATCTTCAGAAGGTATCTCCCAGCAGATTCAGGATCTATAATCACAATCTTCCTACTTCCCATGAACCCATTAGAGCACACCAAATATGGAAATAATATCCAATCATTGAAGAACAAAAAGGTAAAAAAAGATATTTTATTTTTACATGTCAATGGACAGCCTAATAGTAAGTGCATGTACGAGTTGATAACAGACTCAACTTCTAATTCTCTCCCCAATACTCAAAAAATAAAAAATAAAAAAATTTTGCTTTTAGAAAAAAATTAAAATCTTCAAACTATTTTTTTTTTGAAAGGAAAAATCTTCAAATTATAGTTAAACATTATAATCAAATATTATATATATATTTTTTAAACTTTTAAACTTTTAAAATTTTTTCGTTATAATCCAATATAACAATAAATATTAAATATATATTTTTAATAGATGTATAAATTACAAATTTTAATTGGTCATTTAAAATCTTTTAAATTATAATTAAATATAAAATTAAATTTTTTTATTATTTTTTTTTCTTATTCCTTATCTCTCTCCTAATGAAATCTTTTAAATTATAATGAAATATTACAACGAAATGTTAAATATATTTTTAAAATTAAAAAATTTAATTGGTCAATGCTTATAGATATTTTAGAATCAAATTTTATTAAAAACATTTTAAAAAATCTTATTATTCCCTTTCATTCTCACATGTAATTCTCGTATTTACATAGTATAAATGATTATAAAAACTTAATCGGGAGTAAGAAGTTTCATATTGAAGTCTTTTAAACTATAAGAATTTTTATCAATTTAATTAGTTAAGAAAAAAATTATGCCTTCTTGTATAATCGATGGCATTATTCCGTCTTATTGAATCTTCAAATAAATAAATATACATAAACAAAAAAGCATGGCTGTAAGGCTTCGGGGTATACTCCCCGGGTGTCTCCCTACGACAGGTCGTTTAAATTGGTACCATTAAAGAGGCCTTACATAGAGGGGTCTGGGCCATTAAGTATGATTGGATAGGCAAAGAGATATCTTCAAATTTCAGACCAGTTTTTTTCTTATTATTTTGCAAACAAATACTAGTATGTTTTGAGCCCCACACATATTATTTCAATTTTTTATAATAAGGCATTTAGGTAATCGTTACAAAATTCCAATGAAATGGATTTGTAGAATACATCGGCTATGACCATTGGCTTTATTTTATCATTTGACAAATATAATAATTTTTTTTATATTAAGATATAGTTCAATGGTAAGTGTATATACGAATTTGTTCTAATTTCTTCCCGAATGCTCAAATGGAAAAAAAAAAAAAAAAAGCAAATGTAATGATTTTTAAATGATAAGAGAGAAAGCAATTTGTGCTATAGACATATATGTTCATTGTTTAGTCAAAATCAAAATGGGAGGAGTAGGAGCAATCAAGAGCAACTTCATTCAATAAATTCTTTTTGGTTTCTTCTTAATCTATTGATTCAATCACAGTATCTGTCTACAAAAGGCCTTTACCCCCTAAATGCAATGTCCCCATCAACTTTCAAACATTATCTCTAATATATAAATTACATTCTACATTGGCAAAAAAAAAAAGAAAAAAAAAAAACCTTGATGTTTTTTTTAAATTCCGACCATCGATTAATGATTAAATATAAATTATTTCAAAGATTAGGTACTAATAAAGCTTAAAAATTTTCAATTTTTAGCATTTAGATTATAATTTTGTAATAGCACTCGATTCTCAAATCGCTAAAAACACATTGAATCAACAAATTAGAAATTCAAAAATTTATTTGTTTATAAGTGTTTTTATTTCCTTTTCTTTATATATATCTTAATATATGTGAAAATTAAAATTGGTTCTTAATTATGCCGCTTAAATTAATTAAAAAATTCATGAATTATCCAAAAGGAAAAGGTTGAGAACACTATATATATGTTCTGATTCCAAAAGAAAAAGAATATAATATAGGGAGGAAAAGAAATTATTGTTGAAAGTTGAAACATGGGATCTTCTAGATTCCAATTTAAAAAAGCTTTCTTCAAATTATGCTATGCTTTTTTCCACCACATTGTTCCTTCTTCTTCACCTCTTTCATCTTCTTTCCTTTTCAATTTAAAAAAGCTTCTTCAAATTATGCATCTTTTTTCACCAACATTGTTCCTTCTTTCTTCACCTCTTCTTCATCATTCTTTTCTTTCCCTCTTCTCAAAGAGAGTGATCTTTCATCATTAAGCATCGTTAAGGTCAAAGGAACTTCGTTGTGTCGCGCCATTTGCAAGTTACACATGTAAGCAGTTACAAATATAAACTTGAGGGACTCTCACCTTACAATATTGCAATTCTACTCAAAGAGAGTGATCTTTCATATTAAGCATCGTAAGGTCAAAGACTCGTTGTGTAGGTCATGCAATTACACATGTAAGAGTTACAAATATAAATGAGCTCTCACCTTCACAATATTGCAATTCTATGTTTCAAATTTGAGTGCAATTTTCTTCTCTTATTCAATCAAATTTTCATTAAAAAAAAAAAAAAAAGACCGAAAGTGCGGTCCACTTGTAGTCATTTTCTTTAATAATATACACCATTCAATCACATTCTCGAAAATGAACAAGATAATAATTAGTATTTTGCATTTCATATATTTTTAAAGGCGTTATTTGAAAATAACTTTTCATGTGACTTTAGTCAAAACAATACTTTTATTATTTATTGTGTTTGATAAGATAATGTTTATACTAGTATTTGGAGTTTGAGAAAGCATACTATGAAAAGATGCATTTTTCTTTTTTTAAGGTTTGATGAAATTTTAGTTGTTGGAATAGACTAACAACTACTAAAATAAATAATTTTGCCAAACAGGTTTAAAATATTCAAAATTTCTGATTTTAAATTTTTTCTTGTTTTAAATGGAAAAACTTAATATTTGAAATTTTTTTTTTTTAAATGGGCTAAATGACCACAAACTCAAAGTTTGTGTCTCAAAGTCCAAAAAGATAATATTTATTCAAAATTTAATAACAATTAAAATTCAGGGGTCAAATTGAATGTGTATTAGCAGTTTTAAAATTTTGATTTAAACCTCATCCATTTACATTAGTTTAGAAAAATTAATGTAAATATGTTTCGAGAATTGACGTAAATAAAGGAATGAATGTTTTTTAATTGGAAAAAAATGACAAAAACAATAATAAAGGATAAAAAATTTAAAAGTAACAATCCACTATTGACTGAGCTAGTAAATATTTTATAATTTGAAACTCGAACTAAAATGCTTCTTCAATAAATTTAAATTAATAAAATAGAATCCTTCACAAATTTATCGAATAATATTTTAAAAATCTTGATATCATTAGTAATATTTGTTCTTTACTTTTCAAAAATTTATACAATATAATTTAATTTTAAAATATTATATTATAAATGAAAAATAATTGTATAATTTTATTTTGGTAAAAGATTTAACTAAGATATATATATATATAATCCTGAAGAAAAAAATAAGTTCAAGAAGCTCTCTGCATTTAGCATTCCTATTTGTCTTTTTCC